GAGCAGGGAGCCTGATGCGGGGCTCGATCCCAGGACCCTGGGATCATGACCTGAGCCGAAGGCAGACGCTTAACGACTGAGCCACCCAGGTGCCCCACGTATTTGTTTAATTTATAAGCAATCCTATATTACTTAATATAGCAAAAATATCCATTAAGAGAGAAAAAAAAGCACAGAGCAAGAAGTAGATAAATTTCACAAATAAATACCCAAGAAAAGGAAAATTTCTGGATTTTTTGTTTTTACTTTTTATTATGAAAATTTTCAAATATACAAAAGTAAAGAGAACATTATAATGAACCCCAATACCAGCTTTAACAATTATCATCATTTGAATTTAGGCTTTCTTTTAACCATTTTACTTTAAAAAACAAAACAAAAAATCCTTTACTCAATCCTGCTACTCCATTCAAGCCAACATTTTCTTTCCTTCCATAACTACTTAAAAAAACATATCTTTAAAATGCATCAAACATATGAACATAAAAACAACACAAAAGTTTTAAAGATACAGTGGTGAACAAAACAGACTCCCTGATCTCTTGGAATTTATATTCTTTTTTTTTTTTTTTTGAGAGAGAGAGAGAACGTGCACCTCGTCGTGGGGGTGGGGCCGGGAAGGGCAGAGGGAGAGAGAGAATCTTAAGCAGGCTCTAGTCCACTTCTCCAAGATCATGACCTGAGCTGAAATCAAGAGTCAGATGTTAAACCAACTGAGCCACACAGGAATCCCTGGAGTTTATATTCTTATTAGAGAACACAAGCTATATAAAAAAGTAAACAAGAAAATAAAAAGGCTAATTTAAAATTGCTGTAAGAACCAAGAAAGTTTTGGGGCGCCTGGGTGGCTCAGTCATTAAGTGTCTGCCTTCGGCTCAGGTCATAGTCCCAGGGTCCTGGGATCAAGCCCCACATTGGGCTCCCTGCTCAGTGGGGAGCCTGCTTCTCCCTCTCCCACTCACCCTACTTGTGCTCTCTCTCTCTCGCTGTGTCTCTCTCTGTCAAATAAATAAATAAAATCTTAAAAAAAAAGAACCAAGAAAGCTTTAAAAGAGCAATTTGTTGGTGATGATAAAAGGAAACAGTCACATAGTCACATGTTCATACATTATTGTATGTATATATTATATATATTTTTAAATGGTTTACAATAAATCAATCTTCAGGACCTAGAAGGCTGGAGGCCTCAGGGGCTCTAGAGTATAAGGACGCCTCCAGATTCTGCTCTGTCTTCTTTCTGTATGATCTGGCTGTGTCCCCTTTCTACATGGCTGCATAAGCCTTAGCCAGGAACACCACTAGATGTTGAGTCCCTGAGTGCTGAATACAGGATAGGTGCTGGGAACTCTCACCATGTATACTAAGCAGGTATTACTTTTGAAGCAGGACAATAAAAGCGTTAAGTATATTCATTTTAAAAGAACATAAAACCAAGAATTGAGAAATCCAAATGAATTACCTGCACAGTAAGAGCATGTCTCCTTAATACATACTTCTGAGATGCCATGTGAATAAACGTTAGGCCTATACAGAGGCTATAGAGAGGTTCATGGGGATGGGTGCGAAAGGCTTGCACATATTGTCCTGAAAAAAGAACAGTGATGTCAGATGGTGTGACATAAGCTTGGTTCCTTATTTCTTCATTTATTCAAATATATGTTATGGCTAAGCAGTACTGATTTTTAACATATGCAAGGTGTGCTTTCTAAAATATCAACCAGATACACATTAATTTGAATTTTAAATCAATGTATAAAATATAGCAAAATTAGGAGGATTTACCTATAAATGACTACAAAGATTAAATATGAGCAACTAAAAGTAACTTTCTTTTAGGCACAGCTAGACACTTCCATGTAGAATAATATTTCTAAAATAAACAATTTATCAATTGTGATCATAAAATCTATTTTATGATCTTAAATCTATTTTAAAAGAAACAAGGGAACGTGTCTTTTGGCAAATTCTTTTGTAAAATTAATTGATCTGTCTTATAAATTCAAATACAATGGATCATGGAGGTAAGAAAAAGAAAAATAGTTTTGTTTTTTAGATTATGGGTGTTGTTTCCCAAATGTAGCACTATTTTGTTTTTCCTGAGAAAAAGATGTTTTCCTTGTTTCCATGTATTCTATATATGCAATTATTCCATGTCAAACAAAAGCTTAGCCATATGAGAGAGGGAATTTAAAAAAATTTTTAAATAAATTTTCTTATAAAGGGATGATCTATAATTTATCATATATAGATAAAAGCTTCCATTCTTTCCAGCTTCTATGCCAGAAGAAACTGCACCACAGAATCTCTTTAGCAGCACAGATGGTAGACTGCCATTTGGACTTTCTATTTTTACCTCTATAAAAGGTCCTGAATTTAAGACAATATAAATCTCTAATTTATATTTCTCAACATTAAACAATTCCAAAAAGCACACACAGTGGAGGACAGTTTCAACATCTGATGTTCAAGGTTACCGGCTGAACAATTATAAAAATACCAGCCATACACGAAGAAACACTGAAAGTATTTAAATAGCCAACATCCCAGTTTACCCAGAAGTGAACCTGGCAACACTAGCTTTTAGGCACCAAGAAACGCATGCTCATTTTAAGTTTAAACATTTGGCCAGATATTTTTCTATGTGTTTGCTTCTGATTCATTATACAGAAAATTTCAAGTGATTGATTTTCCCTGAGTTTAATTAGAATTAGCAAGCACCATGTAAATAAATCTTGACATAAAGACCTGTCTCCTAGAGGAACAAACTATCAGCAAATCTTAAATCCTTTTTTGTACTACAACAAATTAAAATCAGGTGGCAAAGCATCCACAATTAATGAAAATTATTTTAAAAGCAAGCCGGGGCGCCTGGGCAGCTCAGTTGGTTAAGCTTCTGGTTCTTGATTTTGGTTCAGGTCATGATCTCAGAGTTGTGAGATAGAGCCCTGTGTTGGGCTCCATGCTGGGTGTGGAGCCTGCTTAAGATTCTCTCTTGCTTTCTCTCTGCCCCTCCCCCAGCTCATGCATGCTCCCTCTCTTAAAGAGAGTGGGGGGCCATGGCTCAGTCGGTTAAGCGTCTGCCTTTGACCCTGATCAAGCCCCACATCGGGTTCCCTGCTCAGTGGGGAGCCTGCCTCTCCCTCTCCCTCTGCCGGCTGCTCCCCCTGCTTGTGTGCTCTCTCTCTAATAAATAAATAAAATCTTCAAAATTAAAAAAAAAAAAATCAAGCCTAAGCAGGGACAATTGTGGACTTTTAAATGAATTATGACTTACTCCAGCCTTTTGAAACCAAAGCTTCATAAGGAAAATAAATATTAATTATTATCATTGTTGCTAATAGCTACTTATTACATGTGCCAGACATTTTTAAAAATACTTTATATTAACTCATTTAATTTTCACAATAATTTATAAGGTAGGTCCAATTATTACCTCCATTTCAGAGATAAAGAAACTGAGGCAGGGAGAGGTAGAATAACTTGTCATGAGGAAGCCACTATTTAAACACAGGTAGTTCCACTCCAGAGGCCTAGCTGTTAACCACCACTCCATCCACACTTGACAAAGTCATGTCCAGGACACTTACCAAGTGCATGCTTAAAACTACCAGATACAAATGCATTGTGTCCATTTAAGACACACAGGGCATGATTATCTGGGTTTTTCAGCATTAGGCGAAGACAGAAGCGATGATGTCGTACTTCTTGGGAGTGCATGGTAACCTGATTGAAAATGTTCCAGAGCTGAGGTTTATTGACATTTTCCATTACCATTACCCTAAAATTGCAGAAAGAGGGTGAGGATAAAAAATCATGTAAAAAGAAAAACTTCTGATTTCTAAGAATGAAATCCTTCAGTGCAGCAACATCTTCCAAGGAAAAGCAGAGTGTCTCAGGGTATTTAAGCAGAAATATTTACACAAAGATTTTTCGCAGAAAATGCTGCTTAAGTTAGTATTTCTATATCTTGCTTGTTCTTTTCAACAAAACTTTTAAACAACAACAACAAAAAATCAAATAGTTTAAATTTCACTATTTCTACCCCTGACCCTACAGCTGCAGTACAATGAATAGTGAATAATAGCTAATAATAATGTGTGCCAGACATTGTTAAAAGGCCTTATATATAATAATTCACTTAACTCTCACAATAATCCTACCAGGTGGTAGTATTATGATATCCATTTTATAAATGGGGAGACTAAGGCACAAGAGGTTGGATATATGAGAGGGGATGCCACTGAGAATCACCAATGAACTGAATTAACGAGTAAGCAACAAGAGAGTTAAAACAAAACTTATTAATTCTTGAGCATAAGAGACTAAGTCAAAGTAAATACACATACTCTTTCAAAGAATCTAAAATAAGCTATTAGAAAATTACCTGATATAGTTGTATGCCTTTCTGAAATTTTTGTCCAGTATTGCAGCAGAAAGACCAAAGTATTCTAGTTCTTTGCGTTTTTGCTTATCATCATAAAATGAATAATATTCCAATGAAGAATCCACAAGTAACTCAGCCTCCTGAAATCGGGATAGGTCACACAAGCAGTATATGGCCTTCAACAGAAGGTTCCACCAGTCATCTTTTGTCAAGACACTCGTGAGTACAGCAAATATTGCTAAAATGATGCCAGTGACAATCAGTTAGGACACTATATTTTCAGAAAGAGCAGTATTAGAAAAATTCATATTATCAATTTTAAGGTTAAATTTAATAATCACAGTCCTATGGGCCTGAATTCTTGCCCACACTCTTCTGACAATATGAGAAGTGGATAGTTGCTTGTTTACACTACTTCAATACCACCCTTTCTGCTCTGCCTAACAATCTGCAATCCCAGGTAATTCTTACTTTGGATTTGTCCAGCTACCTCATTTATATCTCTCAGTGCTAGCTAGGATATATGGTCCTCTAGGGCAGAACAAGTGTGTGTTCCATTACTGAGGTCAGATACAGGATTCTACCCATACAAAGCATTCAAATGTTTGTTTAACAAAGGACTTGAAATTCATACTTTGAGATTCGGATTGTTCTTGATCTTTTTATAATCTTAATTTTCTTTTCTCTGCCTCAATATTTCCTTCCTTAAAAATCTTGCCTTATTTGTCTGTAAGAAGCCCCCTTTTTATAAATTTGTAATTCTTGAGAAATATCGAAAGCCACAAAAATATTTTAGTCTTTGACCCAGAATTCTGAGACTCTATTCTACACAAGTAGTCAAAAATATGGATATAGGGGCGCCTGGGTGGCTCAGTCGGTTAGGCGTCTGCCTTCGGCTCAGGTCATGATCCCAATGTCGTAGGATCGGGCCCCGCGTCGGGCTCCTTACTCGGCGGGGAGCCTGTTCTCCCTCTCCCTCTGCCTGCCTACCTGTCTGCCTACTTGTGATCTCTCGCTCTCTCTGTCAAATAAACAAAATCTTAAAAAATATATATATATGGATATATAGGCATGAAGATGCTCACTACAGTATTATCTATAAAAGAAAATTATCAGAAGCAACCATATATCAAAAAATAATAAGGGAATAAAGTACGGAACTGCTATCCAATGGAATATTACACATTCCTTAATGATAACAGCTATGAAGAGAAGAGAGCAACATGAGAAAACATCTGTGAGAAAATGCTGAGTGAAAAAATCAGAGTATAAAGATGCATGTAACATAAAGAGGCCCTGTAGCCTATCCTGGTACACACCAGTGTAATGTGATCCCCACCATGAAGAAATGAACTAACAAAAAAAACCTTATGAGCCTAAGAAAAACCAACAATAGACCTGAAATGAGAAAATACTGAAAGAAAAAACCAGGTAGGATCACATATACAGAAAAATATAACTTAAGGAAATACAGTCTTAAACACATGAAGCAGAGTCTACCTTTGGATGGGCCCAGAATCCATGGACTGTTGAAATGGCAGGCCTCTGAGGCCTTTATGGCTAGATTATGAGCAGCTGACCCTCATTCCTCTCCTGACTCTCCTCCCCTGCAAAACCTTGCTTAATTTTAGGTCCTTAAAATGTGCTTATAGAGATTCAGCTCTTCTGGATTCTAAAATCTTATGCCAGGCACACTGCCATACCTGTAACAATTATTTAATAAATGTCTACTGAATTAATTAACAATGAAATAATTTTCTGCCAGACTGATACCTCCAGTTTAGACCCTTTTCAAGTTTTCTGAGTAATAATGTCACCCAAACTTACTTGATGCATTACCAGCTAAAAATAGACGTCTTTTAAAATCATATTACTTGAGACTGGGTCAAAGCAATTTAGTTTCAGAGTTTCTATGACTATTGCAAAAAAATGAATTTAACAGAGAATGAAACATGTAACTGAAGTCACTGGATAAATATAGTAATTTATATTGCCATCTAATCTTCACAAATTTCTTAAAATAAGGTATATTTTCTTTTTAAAAAGTCAAAAGTTCTGTTTAGTTTTTTCACAGGAAGATCCAAGCAGATGTTTTCCTTTTAATTTTTAGAAGTTAAAGTATTTACATAACCTTCCTTTCTTTTTTAACATCAAATGAGTTTATTATACTTAAGGGATCTGGATTAGAAAATTTCATTTTATTTGAAAAGGCTATTATTTTCAATTAGGTTACTATCAGGTGATACTTCATGAATATTTTTTCAACTCAGCCAAATTTTATGTAATAAAGCAAATGAAAGAATTACCTTTTGCATCACAATTTGCTGTCTCTTGGTCACTGTTGTCTGATATTTTGTCTCTTGACACTTTAATAAGGTAGAGATGCCTCTCTCCAGATTTGGAACTAGATATCAAACAAACTTGGGCTCTATTCATTGCTACCTGAATTAAAGATAAAAATTTGAGATTTTTTAGTCGTATAATTTCTTTTTAATATTTTATTTCTAAGTAATCTCTACACCCAACGCAGGGCTCAAACTCACAACCCCAAGATCAAGAGTTGCAAGCTCTACCGACTAAGCCAGCCAGGCGCTCCAGTGATATAACTTTTTAAAGAAAATCTATGGAGCAGGGGGGGCAGGGTGACTGGGTGGCTCAGCAGATTAAGCCTCTGACTTCTCAGGTCATGATCTCAGAGTCCTGGGATTGAGCCCCAGGACATTGAGCGCTGTGCTCAGCGTGGAGTCTGCTTGTCCCTCTCCCTCTGCTCACACACTCACTCTCTCTCTGAAACAAAGAAAATCTTAAAAAAAAAAAAAAAGAAAAAGAAAATCTCTGGGAAGGAAGTATTGCAGGTGTGCCTGAACTCTTAGTAGGATAAAAAAAAAGGCCAAAGCATTGTGTATTTAAACACCTAAAAGAGAATGAATAGACTTATTTTTTTCTTACCAGAGGAATTTAGATCACACCTTAGAAGGGAAAAAGAAGTTACATAAATTAACTTATACACACACACACACAACTACTTACAGTCTAGCGCAAAAACGCGAGACTCAGAAATGATGTCACATGTGGAAAACATTTTTGCCAAGCGGACAATTTTGGCATGTGGTAGTGTCCAGAAGGCCAATAATTGATTATGCTGTGGTTCTCGCTTTTCTAGATATGTACTCACAAAGATTTTATTTCACTTACTCCACAGTCAAGTTTACACTTTCATGTAGAACTTTAAATTACAGTTGACCCTTGAACAACATAGGTTTAAATTGCAGATTCACTTATACATGAATTTTTTATAGTACAGTACTGTAAATGTTATTTTCTCTTCCTTCTAATTTTCTTAACATTTTTTTTTTCTCCAGCAAGGAGAATACAGTATATAATACATACAACATACAAAATACGTGTTAATCAACTGTTCATGTTATCAGTAAGACTTCCATTCAACAGTAGGCTATCAGTAGTTAAGTTTTTAGGAAGTCAAAAGTTATACATGGATTTCCAACTGTGTTAGGGTTGGTGCCCCTAATTACCATGTTGTTCAAAGGTCAACTGTACATACCATTAACTTCTAAATCTTCTGTCTGTATCTGACTTTCATTTTTAAAAATTTAATAGCTATGGGCGCCTGGGTGGCTCAGTTGGTTAAGCGACTGCCTTC